GGTGGTTGCCAGGGAGTTGCTATGCACTTACAAATGTGTTATAAATAGTTTTTAAAGCATTACTATGCCACTGTTATGTGTTTGCTATGGGTTTCTGGGTGGTTTCCAAAGTATTGCTATATGCACTTGTAAATGATTTTAGAGCGTTGCTATGCAGTTGATAGGGGTTTCTGGTGGTTGCTAAGGTGTTGCTATGCACTTGCTAAGATGTTCTAAATGGTTTTTAGAACATTGCTATTCAGTTGCCAGTGGTTTCTGGGTGGTTTCCAAGCTCTTCTAAAATATTTTAGAGCATTTTTATGCAGTAGCCTTTCTGGGTGGTTGCTAAGTGGTTAGCGATTCTCTGGAATATTCTGGTCTCTAGACATGTGTAGCGTCTGGACCACTCCAACACACAATATATATTTTGTTAGCTAGATTTCACAAATACTTTGTAGCACCCCAGGACGCCGAACAAGACCCTGGTTTCATGGTAACCCGATACATTTACAACCTTGTGGAATGCGAGCCGGCTCTCATTCTGCTTTCTCCAGAAACAAGGGGTACAAATGCACAGGAGAAATGGACTGTTCTACTAATTAATTCATAGGAAAACCTTTTCTTTGAATGAACACACATTTTCTTCAGGCCATTGTGTGTATTATTGCTGTTTTGTATTAATCTGTTGTATTATAGACTATTTTTATTCGTGCTTACGATAAACCACTCATTCAGATAACCTTACATATAGCTTGTTTAGTATCTATGAATTCGCCTTCTGATGATCTAAACAAGAATGTATATTATTTGTTGGTACGTAGGCAATATATTAGTGCCCTGAGAACCTTTAGTATTTTCAATCAAAGTTTCAGATACTAAAGTACCATGTTTCCACACAAAGAGCCATAAACTCCACAGGATCTCAAAACGCCCACTTGGGATTCCGGCTTTTCTCATTGGATAAGCCCATCTTGAGAGGCGGGGATCTTCTCTGACCTTAAAGCTGACACGCCATGTGACCCGCCCAGTCGGTGGTTCGGTCAGAAGCAAAGATGAAGATGTGAGAAAAACGCTTCAGGATACAAAGCATCTGTGCCAGGCCTTTCTTCGGCCTAGTCCTTTCCATTCATCAAGTGACACTGACTCAAACTGGTTCTTTTCATCGACCCGAATTCAGCAAAGATCTACGGGAAGCTTTAAGATTTGCATCAGGAATCTCTTTCAGACCGCCGAGACTCGCTAAGTATCAAACTTAGTCTTATTAATTGATACATTAAGTATCAGTTACACCTTTTTACAAAGGTGTGTTTGAACTCAGAATCTGACGTATCCCTGAAGGCTTTGATCTGTTGAATATACATGCAAAGTGTTCCATAAAATCCATTCTTTATGCCTCTTTCTATGCTGAGTTAAACTTTAACCCTTTCCTATACCAACTGTATGTGTGTGTGTGTGTGTGTGTATGTGTATGTTAGACCGGCTTAATGTGTTTATGTAGTATGTTAGACTAGTTTAAGTGTTTATGTAGTTAATAAAACCTTACTTGTATCACACTTGACGTGTTCATTGTTTACTCATAACCGGAGTCAATAATCATATGAATAGTTAATTATAACTAGTTATGGTTAATTATTCATATTTCCCATGAGCTGATTCGCTACACATGATAAGTCCCTACTCTTAATTTCTCTTATTTTAACGTCCACAATGTGAAAATTGCAACAATTACTTCAAAAAGAAAGAATACACCTCAAGAAACCACACAATTTGGGGCATCACATTGCAACAAAATAAAAACAATTAGTTAGTTAGTTAATACATATCCTTAGACTAATATTCTGTTTCACTCTGTAATGTGTCACATTATGGTGGTTAAATATATTGACAATGCCATTTTATGTCATCTTTAAAGAATAGTAATGATTTTTTTCTTTCCAATTCATAGCATTCTGAACGATATAGGCAGACCCTCAGGCTGTGTCTGAAGCTAAACGTCTTTATCATTCCATGCATGTGAGTGTCGGGCAGAAGGTTGAGAGGATTTCATATTAAAGAGAATATAGTTAAGGACCCTAAAGTGATGCACCTCAGAGTCTGACATCACAGCTCAGGGTCAGATCTCCTCTCTGCACCATTTTCCAACACAAAGACTGAACGAAATATATATCACCCCTGAGAAGAGCCCTTCAAAACCCACAATGCTGTTCTGTAAGCACACAAAGAGGGACAAGGTTACTTCAACGCCGCCTGGGCAGATTACAAATCAACCAAAAGCTTTTTCAGTCTGAGGTATTTAAAGAAAAATGAGCAAATCAAAGTATTCATATTCTGCTCTTGTATTGCGAAAGACGCCAGTAAATAGCAGTAAAACGGGTCGAGAGGACAACCATGAAATAAAACACAGTAATAGCATGCATTCATTAAAAAAAACGACAGCATTAACCTAATTAAAAGAGCAAACATGGGAGGGGGGGGATGATGTCAGGTTAAAAAACCTTGAGACATCAGCACGTACACATCACTCGCATCATAATGCACGCAGGCCGCATTTCTATTCCAGACTCGCATGCACATTACTTCTTTGTTTATTGTCAACAGGAATATGTCTTAAATAGACTGGAGGACATGGAGGTGGATAATGCCTTTCAACCAGGCAAAATAGATACTCAACCTTATACACGCCTTCTGACCGATATGGATTTTTAAATGACTAATAGTCATACAGATATGTAAAGAGCAGGGTGAGCAAAACTAGACAGAATAAAACACTAGTCATTTTGTCTTAATTGTGAAATAACTAGTTTTCTTGTAATTTTGTCATGATTTAGACACAGAAAAAAAACTGCCTAATTGTAATTAACTATAGGACCAAATAAATATAAACATGAATGAACATAACTTTTTAATTTGGAGTCTGATTGTTCTTATTATCCATTGCATTATCTGCATATAAATGGCACTGTTACTTCTAAATATGTCAGGAAAAATGATAAAATACCTTAAAGGGGTCATATGATGTGATTTCAAGTTTTCCTTTCTCTTTGGAGTGTTACAAGCTGATTGTGCATAGATAAGATCCCTGAAGTTGCAAAGACTAAAGTGTCAAAACCAAAGAGATATTCTTTATCAAAGTTAAGACTCTGCCACGCCCCCCTAAAACGGCTCATTCCAACACGCTCCCACATATCTATCTCACTATGTGGAAATATTTGCATAATGCTGCCCAAATGTTCACGCAAAGAAAGAAGGCGTGGTTTCAGTAACCGCAGTTAGTGTTGAAGCAGCATGTCAGGGAGACGCTGTGTGTTTCTAGGCAAAAGCAAAAGCACTTTATTTGGCCTTCTGAAAGTAGATGCATTTAGGAATCTTTAAGATTACTTACAACAGAACAGCAATGCATTTTATGGACGACCGTTTCGTGAACCTAGGAGAGGAGGTCATTCTGACTTTGCTATGACAATCTGGCGCTTCTGAATCAGCTACTGTTTTGTTATTAGTTTAA